TACAAGCTTTCGTCTGTTCCTACAGACATCCTCAGGTATGGAAATAGATTTGTTCTTGTTTTTTACCTCTCGGTAATAAGAGGACAACGAAAATATAGATTTAATCCAAAAAATGCTATGAGAAATGTGTTATTATTTAGGAATATCACTATATTTGTACAAAAACGCACAACCTTAAAATTTCACCATCCAAAACACATCCTTGATAACGGCTAGAGAGTAACCGAAAGGGCTCTGAACAATTATAACTATGGACAATTCCTATATTCCTTAACCCCTGAAAAATGGAATAATGTTAATTACCTGGAAAACCCCAATAAAATATTAATTAAATCTTCCTTTTCAGACGTTTTCAATGAAACATGCGTATATATATATATATATATATATATATATATATATATATATATATATATATATATATATACTGATAATATTGGTGATCAATATATATGTATATAGAGCGTGTATGTGTGGGAGTGGGAAAGAAGCGTGAAAGTGAAATATATGAAAGCTCTAGAGAGAGAGGTGTAATAGAAGAAAGAAGAACGAGAAGACCTAAAGGTGAAGGTTGGGGTCAAAATTTAACAGAGAGAAGTTTTAAAGAGAGGTGGTAAATAACGGTTTAAATAAGTGAGATACAAGTAAATATGGATTATTTTTCGATGCATAATTCACTACCGAATCGCTGACCTACATTAAAATTTAAAAAACAGACACGCATTATAAAAAAACGATATGATCTAAACTTAAAATCTAGAAGATGAGAGAAAGAAGAATAAATAAATAAATAAATAAATACAAATAAAAATAAATGATGGGGGGTTACAAACTAAAAACGAAGGGGGTATTTATAAGAGAACCGATGTCTAATAAAGAAAATTTGACAAAGCAATTAATATAACCTACAGGTTACAAACTTAACATAAACCTATATAATCTAACTAATATTTTATCTAATAAGGACCTACTAGTTATATGCCCAAAAACACATACGTAGATACACACATACACAACAACATATCCATATCTACTTGTACATACATACATATACATGTGCACATATATATATATCTCAATACACATACGCTCATGCATACATATACACATAGACATACACATAAACATATCTACATACAACCTTACACACATCCATACATATACATACACACACTCATCTAAACAAATATACAATATATCTATCTATCTATCTATACATATACACATACACATGTATACATAAATACACATACACACACACATACATATACACACACACACACACACATATATATATATATATATATATATATATATACATACAAAAATTAAAAGGTAAATAGTAAAAAAACACACATCCATCTATAGATACATTTAGAATATAAATAGATGGGTAGAATTAAACTAATTTGTATTTAAAAAAAACTACTGAGGAAGAAAACTTTAACAATATTAAAAACCCACGGAGTGATTAACGCGTATATATCTCTTAAGTCTACATATATACCTAGGTATATAAAAATATCAGAAAACTACCAGATTTTGCATATCAGTTATTTAGGAAAACTTTTTACCTACATACCCACATACACATATACCAATACATGAATAAAGTTTGCTAACACCAATTAAATGATCAAAAAAACTTATAGAGCACCACATAAACAAAGACTATATATATATATATAGATAGATAGATAGATAGATAGATAGATAGATAGATAGATAGATAATCATAAGAGTCATTCCATTTAAATGTCAAGACCGATGTTAGTGATCCAAGATATATAGGTAACAACACGTTATAAAACCGTGTTTATGTCTTAAAACGTATATATATATATATATATATATATATATATATATATATATATATATATATATATATATATATATATATATATATATATGAATTCCCAAGAGGATAGAATCTAGATAGAACTCAATGTCCGAAACAGAGTAAGAATATAATATAAAAGGCTCAAATACTAATATTCCATAGTTATAATTTATTACATTGAATTTCACTTTTCGTTTCACCTTTTGGTAGTGATGTCTGATGATCCAGCATCCTTTAAAAGGTCTCTGGTGAAATAAACTATAACAATGGAGCATTAAAGTGGTCTGTTTTTCTTTAATATATATATATATATATATATATATATATATATATATATATATATATATATATATATATATATGATTAATACAAACATATTAATTCAGCTTTTATTCTATTCGATTATTCTAAAGAGAAATAATCCCTGTTAAACTTGAATCCATACAGAAAATGTTGTTGTTGTGGTCACACTACACACACTCTAAAACGAAAAGACTCTTCTCTCCCCAGATATGTCACTTTTCATTCTTGTAATACCGATTCGTGCTTTAATAAAAAGATTTTGTCTCGTTGGTACGGAGAATAGAAACGAGAATAATGTTATTTTCCTTTATGTCGCGTTCGTTTTTTCATCCCATTCGGGCTTTTACAAAGTGCTATATTCGCGGTTCACAAAGTAAGTTTTTCTTCAAGGTTTATCCGTCGTATCTATACCCATTGAAATTACGCTCTGAAGATTTTTGGCGAACACGACAACATCTTCTTTAGAAGTCCTAATCCCAGCGACTACCTGAACAAAGACTCGATAGGACCACCAAACTTTTCAGTACACGCCAACTCGACGACACAATGAGAAATTGTGTGATTTGTTTCGATCTTTACGTAGATACCTCTTTAAAACATTCTATATCTTCAGGAAACTTACCTGATTCTTTCCAGGTATAGATGTGAACGAACTGTTAAATAGCTTAAACGAAAGTAAAGAAAAGAAGGAAGTAAATAGCCAGGTTAAACGAATAAAAACTTTCATTGGCCTTTTAAGGTGTGCACTTAATATTGACCTGAGAAGAGGTCATGATAAGTTCGTTTGTAAGTTCATTCCTAGAGCGTCCAGATTAGCGAAGACGAGTTGGCGAGAGTTCAACCCGAGGTCAGTATAACGTGATGTAAGAAAAAGAGTAGCAACGCAGAAATCGATATTTGTGAGCGATTTTATCATACACAGAGAGACATTTATTGATTGATTTGTTTTTAACTTTTGAACGGTTATTTAAGGCCAGAAAATATTTATAGATTTCAAGGATTCTTTTGAGATAATAATGATTTACTGATACAAGTCTTACTAATTAACCCATAGCTGGGAGGAGAAGAGAAGAGGTAGATCCATACCTTTTGAGTAAGTGAATATAACAAAGCCGACTGGAATTGGAACTCTGCTCTCCGAATTACAATTCTGAGCCGTTATCCATTGCACCACTTTCGCATCCAAGCTTACAGCACCTGGTATTTCCAAGCGATCCCCATCGAGGTACAGACCAGTATCGGTGTTGTCTAACTTCTATGACTGTAAACACAGGCAAGTGCCGGTATACATATATATATATATATATATATATATATAATTTTTCATTATCCTGAAAACGAATTTTTAGGGATGGATTTTTCATTTATTAATCCGACATATTTAAATGCATTCCTTAAACGTTATTTCTGAAATAGCCATATTTGAGATGATGGTCTGACTTTTTTATTCATTAGGAAATAATTATTATATCCGAGAAATCTTAGAAAAAATATTTTTCTAATGAGATTTCTCGAATATTCAGCTAGATAGAAATAAATATACCGTTTAATAAATAAATAAAAACAGTGCATTTACTCAGATATGGTAAGCCATTACAAATAAAGTTTATGCAATATATATATAAGGCAGGATGTGTATATGTATGTGTGTGTGTGTGTGCGTATGTGCGTGTGTGTGTGTGTGTAATGAATGCACGGCCGCAATTTTCGACAGATTTGCACCAAAATTTACATGCACGTGCTCCAAGTTAGTGAAAAGGCCAAGACCTGCTTTGTATTTCCCAACTCCCATCGATAGTGGAAATAATCGATTTTTTCATGCTTCTACGGCAGTTTTCATGTAGTTTGCGGCCATTTTGCATTGGCCAGAGTGAGAGCCTATAGCTGGCTGCCACGAATAGGCAGGAAGATTCTATTGGTCATCGTGAGAGCCAACAGCTGACTGACACATGCAAAAAAAATCGATAGCTGCATTCGTCACAAGTGGGAAAAATTTAAATCTGCATGGTACTTTACTCCAATTGGCTCATTCGCTTGCTTAAATTCAACGTTGATTCTGATTCCGCAGAACATTGGTTGGGTGTGAAAAAGTATTTGTTGTTAACATTCTTTTTTCATTCGGTTTTTCCAGTTACGAGTCCTTTTTTAAAGCTGATCATTTTGTGTTCATTTTGTTTAGTTCTTTTTTCGTAACAGATTTAATGTTTAGTATAGAACTTAGAAAAAAATCGCAGTGTGAGATAGGCAAGAAGTAAGGCATGTAGAAACATCAGCACGGCGAAGAACACTTCTTTAAAGGCAAGGAAGGGCAAAAATATTTTAAGTCAAGTGATAGCAATTGCTGTAAGAGTCGTACGATTTTTGAATCAAACACGGGCAACGCCGGGTCATGCTGCTAGTATATATATATATATATATATATATATATATATATATATATATATATATTATTAATTCAATAATATTCATTACTCAGTTTCATGTGATAACAATCATCAGGCGGAAATAATATGGAACTATGCTATCATTTAGCTTGTTATCATTATATATATATATATATATATATATATATATATATATATAGAGAGAGAGAGAGAGAGAGAGAGGCACGGTGTAGTAATGGATAGCGGCATGGATTGAGGAATCGCAGAGTCGAGTTCGAATTCCAGTCGAATCCATTACATTCACTTACGTGCTAATACCCTTGGGAAAGGTATGAATCCTCTTCCTCTCCCTCCAGCTATGGGTAAAATAGAAGGACAAACTGGGTTCTATAGCCTTGGATGGCAACTGGTCTAGGAGAAGGACAACTCTGAATTAAAAACCTGCGGAGGGTCGTTTGGGAACCTTGTGCATCCTAAGAAAAAAAGAAAGAAAGAAAGAAAGAAAGAAGGCTGCAATCTAAGAAAGAATGTAAAAGGCGATTTCTAAGAAAGAAAGACAATGTGAATCCAAAGAAATAAAGAAAAGAAAGTAAAAAGATAAAAAGAAGGCTGGATGCTAAAAAAAATGTTCATTTTAAGAAAGAAAAAATGTTGTTCCTAATAAAGAAAAAAAGAAAGAAGTTATGGGCTACATGTTGTCAATAGGTAAAAAGCCCTGTCATGACTGCCTGTCAGCTATCTGTCAGTTCCATTTCTACGCTCCCGTTTATTTTCGTCTGCTTTTTCTGGATAACATTGGCTTTTTTCCTACATTTTATAATTGTCTGTTTGACTCATCCGTCAATTATGAAGAAAAAGCCAAGAAATCGGAATTTCATCAACACAATTAAATGTTGATGACTTCTTTCGAAATTCAGATGCTGTCTTACACCATGTACGTTTTAATATAGAAAAACAAATCATTTTTTAAGAAAATAATTGTAATATTCAGCAACTGGCATTTTTCTTTGTTTTTTTTTTTTGTTTTGTTTTGTTTTTTTTTTTCTTAATTTCTTTCTTCATTTTTATTTATTTATTATTTTCCGGGCTTACATTTGTTGAAAAAATATTTTTAAAAAAATGAAAACCAAGAATAATATAAATAGTTTTGTGGTCATTTTTTATGTGCCTTTGACTTTGGTACCTTGACTTCATGAATTTAAACGTAGTATTAGATTGGCAGCTATGTCTCATCATTTTTCAGTTCAAGTTGCTTGATAAAACCGTAAGTTCTATTCCAATAGTTTCTTCTCTCGCACTTATCGTTTGTAGAACTCTCTTCCGGCTTCCCGCCTTCCCATCAAATATGCTCTTAAAAATCCAAATGAAATGTCGATTGTCATATTCTATCTCTTTTAATCCTGTTCTTTTATTGTCCTTTCTCTTCAGAAAGAAAGAAAAAAGAAAGAAAGAAAAAATGAAAAGGTGAATCCTAAGAAAGAAACAAACAAAGACACTAAACATTACTCAGTTTCTTTCACTCTCAGTAACCCCCTTCTGTCTTAGTAGCTTTATTGCCTTGCTTGAGGTGAAATGATTAAAAAAATAAAATAATGTAAAATTTTTAACCTCATTGTTTCTGAATTATTAATATTCATGGTCAGAATTAATACTTGCCTTGTATATTTATTTGTTTAGGAAAAGTGAGAGCATTGGGTTTTTTTATGCATAGTGTATTTATTTCATGTGTCCGTTGCTGGATAAAACCAAGAATCCTTTCCAATGTAAATTAAGTTTGCTTGAAATGATAAAAGGAGAAAACCAATGAAACAAAAACGTCTTTAGATTTATTTTGTTTATACAGAAATAATACAATGAATGAACACGAAAAGACGAACCACTCACTAATAGAGAATCATAGAAAAATAACACAAAGAGAAATACGGAAGCAACAAAGAATAAAAATCTCATTAAAATTATCAAAAGCTTGATATTGATCTCGTATTGATTGATATGAATGATTTTCAAAAAGTCTGGACCTAAACGTTCTACTGTATCATTGCGCTCCATTTGTATGAATGAGGATATCATCTGATAAAATTTGTAATCTGACAAACTGGTTCAACTCTTGATGAGCAATTTCTATAATGAATTTATCACCTATAAACTATTTCATTAAAAAAAAACATGCTTGTTTGGGACGTAGGTAATCATAGATCTCCACATCTTCTGTTTATCTAATATCTAAAACTTGGCATAAAAGTTGGCCCTAAAATACATCCATGGATACCTCAACCTAGCTTTAGGAGAGAAAAATGTCTCAGAGGACAACACTGAATTCAAAACTGTTAAGTCAAGAAGAAACCACTCCATTATCATTAACAACAACAACAGTTAGGAAAAATTACAGTCCTACTAACTTTTTGGATAACACACACATATATATATATATAAAATATATATATATATATATATATATTTATATATATATATATATATATATATATATATATATATATATATATATATATAATCAGTTATTTTCGTATTTGAATGGGATTATTGCTTAAATACACAAATACATATATATATATATATATATATATACCTGCGTTTTATAGTGAAATTCAGAGATTTATGGTTATCCAATTCATCAGGCACAAATGGTAATTGAAATATTTAATACGAAATGAAATATTTAATATTTTTTTAAAATTCTGTGTCACATGGGAGTAACACTATATTTCATGCAGTACAAGGTAACTATAAATTTAATGCGATATCAGGGTAAACATTCAAAATATATAAATTTCAAAGTTTCTGTTCAAACTTATATTTATATCTAACCATATCTCTCTCTCTCTCTCTCTCTCTCTCTCTCTCTCTCTCTCATATATATATATATATATATATATATATATAGTCGTGTATTTGAGTAGCAGTTTACCGCGATAAACCGAAATATTAAACAGATTGTGATCGGTTTTTTAACACCTGATGATTGCAAAGGGAAAGAAACTGTCGGCGTGGGATATTATGTATATTTATTAATATATTCTTAATGGCTCTGTTATTTTGCAGTAAGCTCTCTTTTACTTACATCGATGTATATATAAAAAATCAAAAGCATTGGGAAATTGGAAGAGACTGGTTAAGCTGTTTATCTCAACACATTGGACGCCATTAAATTAAAATTCCAATTTAAAGTTTAGCGTCTCTACATCTTCAGCATTTCCTCTCGCTGTATAATTTTAACCGACGTTTTTGTTTATATTTTCATTTTTCCCCCTTACAAATATATATGAAGAATTTCAGCCATAGGAACATTAATTTAGCCGGATGAAGTTCTTTTGAAAGATGAAATGCGTTACATAAAGTTTTTTTTTTTCCATTTTGTCATTCAAAATTATTATATATATATATATATATATATATATATATATATATATATATATATATATAATTAATTCTGTTTTCAAGGTCATTCAGTTACTCTTATGCATATATTTCTTCGCTATCTTCTGATTTTACAGCATCTTGGTATATACAGCTTAACCAGTCTCTTCCAATTTCCCAATGCTTTTGGTTTTTCTTTTTGTTTTTATCGCTGTGGTATGAAACTGGACGTAAATTTATCGTGAAATTTCTACACATTTTTACTTTGGTAAATTGCTTTCTCTTTTAATTAAAACTGCCTTCTTTAATTCGAAATTATGGTCTGATTCATTACGAGGAAGGACTAATGCAGTGAGTGTGTTGATTTTTGTAAAAGAACCCTTGTTTTATTTTTGTTTTTCATTAAGTTAATTACCATCAATTGTATATAGAGTAGATATATCATTTTTCTCCCACAGATAGATAGATAGATAGATAGATAGATAGATAGATAGATAGATAGATAGACCGAGGTACCTTGCGTCATGTGCTTTCTGCTTGTCCACAATCGCTTCAGATGTACACGCGGCGACACAACAAGGTATTAGAGGTGATAAGGGATCTAATAAGAACACAATGTGAGACAGCAAATCAACAGCTTGTGGCAACCAAGGAAACTAAGATCGATTTCCATAAGGAAGGGGAATGCCCTGCAAAAGAAAAAAAAAACAGCCCCCAATATAAAGCTTCTGAGTGGTGCCAGTGATTGGAAGGTTTCAGAGGATCGAATGACATCCTTAAAATTTCCAATACACATCGCACAGACAGACAAGCGTCCCGACATTGTGTTGTGGTCCGACTCATAAAAGACTGTCTTCCAAATAGAGTTAACAGTCCCTTGGGAAGAGAACAGGGTGGAGGCGTACGAACTAAAGAAAAACCGGTACGAGTCACTGCGTGCCGAGTGTATGGAAAACGGTTGGACGTGTAACGTGATGCCTATTGAGATTGGGCGTCGTGGGTTTCTGGGACATTCGGTCATTTCCTTCCTTTCAAAAATAGGCATCACTGGCCGTTGGTTGAAAAGCGTTTCGCATCGCATTCAAAAAACTGTTCAACACGCGTCAAGTTGGATTTGGTCGAGATCAAAACAAGCAAATAGAATGCGCGCAACATCACGACCTAACATGCGCAAGTGAGATATTTGCGTGGTCGTCTATAACAATTTTTACGAGCGCGTCAATAACGGCAAACGCGTTCAGGAAACTTCATTACAGATAGAATTTACTTAAAGGAACGATCAATTAGCTTATCTTCATGCCCTGCCTGGTGTCAAACGCCGCTGGTGGCGCCAGGGGTGGCGGTCCCGCCATAGCCACCGAAAACGTGATATCACCCCTGGTCGGCGGCTGATGTAGACAGGGTATCGCACGAGCTAACACACATTGTATGTTAAAAAAAGATAGATAGATAGATAGATAGATAGATAGATAGATATAGTACAGGTAAGAAATCCGTTGATATATAACCTAAGTGGATTCTAGTAATATAAAATATTAAAAGTGATCCACAAAAAGAGCTCAATGTATTTATTATAACCGAGCATATCAATTGTATTACACAACAAAATCTAAAATTACCCTATATGGGGGGGGGGGAATAGATCTATTTCAACCGACGAAAATACGTCAGTCTTATTCAACCCTGCTGAATAGACTGAGTTCGTGTCGGAATTGGAGATTTAACTTTGACAGCCGTCGAAAAATTGATACAAAATTTAACTATTTCGATGTTTCAGACAAACGAAATGCCCGACACCATGGTTAGAGGAGGGTGGAAGGTATTAGCCTTAAATTGAAGAGGCATTATAAAATTAAACCCGGATATTAACCTTATGACCTTAAACTGAGGTTATATGAAGAATGAAGTGTTAATTTGATACTAAAAGAGGGTCGAAAAGGGAGTTTTATAAATAAAATTTTATATTTATAAAAGGTTAGATTCCTACTTAAAACATAATAAATTATACTTAAAAATAACCTATATTTAAAAGATTAAAAATAAGTCATATTTAGATAATTTATGTTAAATTTAAGTAAGAATATATTTTAAAAGATTTCATATTAAAGAATAAAATTATATTTAAAAATATAAGAAAAAATATATTATACATTTTTAAATTTAAAGATAAGTTACATCAAATTATATTTTAAAAAAACATACGCACTTATATTTAATAAACCTAAAAAACTTTTTAAAAATATATAGATAAAGAGGTGTAAGTGATAAAAGGAAGGAGAGTTCTTAGAACAGGGGGCAATTATAAGATACAATTAATACAGTGAATAAATGAAAATATAGAAATTAGAAATAGTTATACATTCGGTAATTAAATAGTTGGAAAATTAAAAAATAACAAAGTAAAATCTATATTGTAGAATTTTAAATTTGTTTTTATGCCGACATTATAAAACTAATTCATTCCTTTGATTTAATAGTATGCTTTGATTATTGTATTTTATTATTGTAATTTTTCTTCTAAACACAAGTTACACCTATCTCTATTAGGAGTATGAGTGAAACCTATAATTTTCCAGTCAATCTGTGGGTTCAGACCTTTCTCCTTCAATTCCTTTTTTTCCTTTTTTTTTTTTTTTTTTTTTTTTTGGAAAGGGCTGTCTGGTGTTTTAATTTAGGGTTGGTAAAATAGTGCCTATGGATATATCTTTGTTTCCATTCCCCCGCAGAAATTCCAATGTAAAGATTATAATTTAACATATTTTCTTATGGGGAAATGGTTATTTGGTATATAACTCAAGTAGATCTGCATTTTCTCTCAACTTGATAATTTTCTTTATCTCTACAATTACAAGAGAGTTCCATACCAGGTTTGTTCGTTATCCCATAGAACTTACTTAAAATATAGTTATTATGAGAGTTGATAATTTTCTACATGTTATTAGTGCAGGAATAGCTAATTTTAATCGTTTCCCTATTGAAGATCTTACTTAGAATGTTTAACTTTAGAAAATATTGTCCGATATTAATATTTGACAGTTTGCAGAAGAGGAGTGTTGAACAATATAATTTTTCTTTCTATTATTTCACATACATTTCACTTTAGATATTTCAGTGTTACTTATGGGGGTTAGATAAGATAATTTATTTTTAAAACCACTTTATATACATATACAAATATATATACATACATATATATATATAGAGAGAGAGAGAGAGGGGGAGGAATGAATTAAATGTGACATATTTATACCTATTTATATAATTTATTTTGTTTTAAATGTTATTTTTTATGGATACTCATATTCGAACAATTTTTAATTAAACAGTATTTTTTAGCCATCTACCGGCCTGAATATTCAAGAAATCTTGTAAGAAAACATAAGTCTTCCCGATTACTGTTTATTAATACACAATCTACATTATTCGGAATATGTCCGAATCTTTGTTGCCATATTCCACGTCTAATGGATGTCAGTTATCTCCTGTTAATTCCCCCCTCCAAGTTAACCAGGTATTGAACTCACAACTCTTTGGGTCCTGTCACTGGATCTAGCCAACGCCTTTATCCACCGTGCCATGTGTCCTTAAGGACATCTGTGGGTGAATTTCTGGGACTTATAAACTTCATGCCTTCAGCATCATTTTTTTACCAAGACACGATTCGGACACTTGAGCAAATATAAAATGTTCATTTCTTTTATAAAACACTATAACCAGGTGTTCACAACGTGTCAATTAACGAAATATGATTTTAACAGGCATATTTTTTTCATCACAGTAAATGTCGTAGCAGAAAGGACGATATTTTTGTCACGGAAGGTCTTAGCAACTGAAAGACCTCGTATTTGTCAAATATGCTAAAAAAAAAACTCAATACTTACCGATTCTGAATGTTTTAACTAAAGTACTTTACGTGTTAATATTTTCTCCCTCCACGTGTTCATGCAAATCTTCAAGATAAAATGTTTTTGTCTACCTCTGACTTCTCTTTGCCTCTATTTTTACTTTTTTTTAGTTTGACTATAACAGAGTTAAATACAACTTTTCCTAGTTTACTAACGAAGTTTATGTGTTGTTTTGTGCTAATCTTAATAGCATGTGTTTTTGTCATTTTTCCAGTATTTCCATGTGTGAAATGTTTTCCACGTATACACTTTCTGTTATTAAATAGGTCAAGTGTATTGGACACACCTTTTTATATGCTGGTCTTCGGCATAGTAGTGACAAATTTCAGCTATACGTATGTGTGTAGTCACTTGATCGCGGACGTTAACATTGTATATAGGCGTAGAGTAATGGATAGCGGCTCGGTTTGAGGAATCGGAGAGCCGAGTTCGAATTCCAGTCGAATCCATTGCATTCACTTATGTGCTAATACCCTTGGGAAAGGTATGAATCCTCTTCTCCCTTCAGCTATGGGTAAGTAGCAGGACAGATCGGGTTCTATAGCCTTGGATGGCAATTGGTCTACCTCAGAAAGAAATGGCAACCTACTGCGGGAAAAAAACATCTGCCTCGTCAGTCATATATCGAAAGATACATGATCGCCTAAGCGTATATCGCCCATGGCACATAACTGATATATATTTTATGACAGGAAACTATTCCATATATTTTCATGGTATTGGTTCTTCTGCTAACCTAAATTTTCAACATTGCCGCCGTTTTCCTCCATCTCGAAGGTGTGTTTGATTTTGGCGCGCTTCAGAGGTGACTTTACCGCCTACCCCTTCTAGTCCCATATACTCCTCTCACCATCACGTATAACACGTGGCTGTAAGCCCCGCCTCTTTAACCCAATTGAGGTCATTACTTTTACCTAACTACATAGCAGCACCGGACATAAATTTGGTTGATATTTAATCCAAATATTTTTTTTTCACATTGCCCAAGTTTTTATTAATCACTCATGATATTTTTCCAGGGATATTTTCCTGCATTACAGGATATTTAATTAAACCACCATGTGTATGTAGAATTTTACTATGATACTATTTCCCAAAATTAAATTAAAATTGCCCCATGCGGTTGAGTTGTATCGTATTGTTTCATGCAAGCATTTGTGTTTGACAGTTGACCACTCTACTACTGGTGGTGCAAATCCACGTTCAGTGGAAACCATTTCTTCTTTCAGCAAAAAATAAAAAATCCTACAGACACAAAGTTCCGCATCATTTCTGGAAAAACAAAAAGACTAACAGCTGCAGAAATTTTTCTTCAGGACTACTTAGCATATTGAAATTTTCAAAAAAAATCCATGTCCGGAACACTGACTTTAAAACAGTGTGCGACTTAACCAAGTCAAATGCATTGCAACCACATACGAAGTTCAAGTTCCTGATGAGACATTAAAATTTTAATGCTCGCGTTAAGAACGCAAAACAAAATATTTGTTTGGAGAAGCTAAGCCAGCCTTTCTCGATGTTACATAATTAAATGGAGATACACCAGTTACAACACCATCTTTAGTAGCACCAGATTTACAAATTCAAACTGTGACCAAATCTGGACGTCATTCAATTGCACAGAAATTTTATATCTTAATTTCTTTTCCCTTTTTGCAGCACATATTTTTTATGTGAACATTTGTATTATTCTAACACAGGAAGAACATTATGTGCTATTGAATGGACATTATTATTTCAATCGTCTATTATACTTTTTAATATACATTGCATGCATATTCTTTTTTTAATATATATTACATGCGCATTCTTTTTTATATTGTAGTTTGTATAAAGAATGTTCCATCTATTACATTAACAAAACGCAAAATAAAAGTAACTCCTCATGGCAGGTTTGAGAACCTGTTTAGAAGAGTCTTGTAAGGATACAAAAGGCGCTTATCTCCCTTTGGTGGAGATAATTCACGTGGTTCGTATGGAGGTTCGCTTCGTGACGTTACTCCATACAGTGGTCAAAGCGGCATTCGTTTCTCAGTTTGTGTACAGCAACCAAACGAGAAGATTGCTTTCTTCTAGAGTGAGCCAAACTGCACAGGCTGAGACCAAATCACCCCCCAAACCCAGCAGATTACAAGTAGATGGTGCCATTTGTTGTTCATGATGACGGTCGTCTTCGAGTATAGAATCCAGAGGTTAGCAGTGAATATTTCAAAGACAGTAGGGAAGCGTTGTTCAGGTTAGCAGTGGATATCCCGGTAAAGTAGCAGAGCGTAGTTCGTCCTTCTGTTTCTCTTCGCCTGACAAGCTGGTACTGGACATTCGGATAGAGTAAACAAAATGGCCGCCTTTATACACGACGGATTGAATATTCTACGTCTTCTGATTGGTTAACCTTCTATTGGTGGACTATAAAGTGAGTCAAGTCATTTGGGCTAGCTCACTAGTTACATAATGTATCCAAAAATTGTAACACCATTTTCCTTTGGGACATAGATGAATCGGCCCATTTAAGTCCTAAAAATGGCTTCTCCAGCTCAGGAGTATCTCCAAATTATATGTAAGACCTTTCCTTTCTCTTCCTCCTTATACCTTGCTTCGCTGTGTAGATATATGTGATATATAGTTCTCCGAGTATATATATATCCATATATACATGTGTATATATGGATATATATATATGGTTTTGTGTATGTCTTAGTATTATAAAAGTCTCTCTGAGAACAAAATATTCTTTTTCCTTTCAGCTATTCCATTCCGTCCTGTCCGTGAGCTACGGTATTGTTATATCACGGATATAATACCCATAACGGGAGAAATACAAATGGGAGAATAAACTTTTCTAACCCTAGCTCTCGTTACACTCACGACACACTAAAGACAAACAGAACGAAGAAAACTCTCTTTCTGCTTGCACAACGTCAGTCGATGAATCTCTAAAAATCCTAAATGTTTAATCGACCGAGCCTTTTTCAACACCCTAAACGCTCCGTCAACATATTCAGAAGCGCAACCCGGGTTAGCAATAACCGTAAGTAATTCTTTTTTGTTTTATACTGACTAGGGGCTTATTTACATTGATCTATTGTACGAAAAATGTCTCTTTAAAAGAATGCTTTCCGTCATTTTCAAATTTTAAATTCTGTGGTACAACATTTCTGTTTATATACACAGGGTTATTAAAAAAAGAATGAACCGATTTCATTACGCATTATTTTAATAAGGAGAAGCAATAGAAAACTCCAGCCAAATCACAAGTATTCTACTCACAATCAGCTTCCTGTCTTACAAGTGTTCAATGTGGCCACCACCTACAGCACGGGCAATATCAATGCGATAAGAGAATTCCTCCCAGACGTATATCAGCATATCACGTTCCACTGAGTTGATCATTATTGTTATTCGAGGTCATCGAGGTTCGTTGGTAATGGTGGAACATGAACGTATTCCCACAAGAAATAATGTTTTACGGTGAGTTCTGGGAATCTCGTTAGCCAAATACAAAGATCAAGATCTTCCGACCAATTCATCGCTGGGCACTTCTTAGCACACGACAGTGGATTGAGAGATCGCAAGCTCACGGCTAGCCCGATTTGTGGACTTTAGTGGACTCTCCTCAAACGCAGCACGGAATCTCGCCACTTGTTCCTCTTAAACTCGTGGTCGTCCTAGGCTTTTTCTTTTACACACACACACCCACTCTTTTAAAACTGTTGAAACCACCGTCGAATGTTCTTAGGAGAGGGTGGATTAATATCAAATTACCTTCAAAAGGCATGCTCCACCGTAACAACCGAATTTGATTTCGCGAACTCGAGAACGCAGAACGCCTTTTGCTGAGGTCTCGCCATTCCCGGGTAAACAAACAACTGAACGTTGCCGGAGATACGATGCGACTGTGGCAGCCATTCAAAGTTTAGAAACCTCCTTTTTCAAATGGTCACTGACTCATTCTATGACGATGATTGAGAACTGAAGCAATGCGTCATTAAATCGGTTCACTCTTTTTAAATAATCCTGGACAGACAGATAGATAGATAGATAGATAGATAGATAGATAGATAGATAGATTAGATAATTATCTAGTCTCTTTGTGCTGTTTCATACATTGGTGGTACTGTTCTGCCTTGGTCTATTTGCTAGAGACATTGTACACTTTGTGTTATTGTCTAGGCAAGTGTGTCTTCCCCGCGTACTTTTGTATTTGCTTATCCTATTTTATTTGCTGTTGGTTTGTCTCTTTTTACTTTTGTCATTTTAAACTTTTGTTTGGTAGGCATAGTGTTGGTAGGGTTGTATTTGGAATTTGGTTTCTTTCATATATATATATATATATATATATATATATATATATATATATATAATTGGTATATACGGAATGAATTCCAATAACCAACAATTACTATTCTTAAAAGAGTGCTCAATACAAAGTAGAGCAGATATAATTATTATTTATAAAAATAATTATAACATAAATATGTTAAGAAAATCACTACAAAAATAGCCATGGCTATTTTTGTAGTGATTTTATAACATATTTATGTTTTAATTTTTTTTTAAAAATAATTAATATATATATATATATATATATATATATATATATATATATATATATATATATATATATATGTATGTATGTATGTATATAGATAGATAGATAGATATTGCTTCACCGTCACGATTTCTCTTTATCTTCACTCAATTACTCGTCCATTGTTATTGTTATTATAAACACAAGTCTCTATCCCCTCTTTCTCTTTCTCTCTCTCTTTCTCTCTCTCTTTGAAATTATTTTCTTTTAACCGTTCGCTTTATATATGTATGTCTATGCGTGTATATTTCTCTTTTTCTTTCACTCCCTATTTATTTACATGCTATTTTTATCCCCCCCTTCCCATTGTTCACGTTTATAGTCTCTTTTTCCTATCATAGACATCTTATCACTCCTCTCACTGATTTTTTCTCCTTGTTCCCTCTTTAAACTTTCCTTTAATATTTCTCTTTCACTTTTTCATCCCAACCTATTCAATCTCCTTCTGATTTCATTGCTCTTTACTACCCTCTCTTGCTCCTGTCTTATACATTTTTCTAACTCCCCCTCTTCTTCTTCTTCTTCTTCTTCTTCTTCTTCTTCTTCTTCTTCTTCTTCTTCTTCTTCTTCGTCTGTTATATTGCCTCTCTTGAAGCAATCTTTCCTTCTTTTTTTTTATTTCTGCCTCTATTTTTTTTTTTAATTTTTTCCTCTCTTCTTTGTTTTGCTCTCATTCTTTCTATTTCTCTTGTTCTAAATGAACCGGGTCATGTGTAATTGAATTCGAAATGACCATGATAATCATCGGACCAAGAACAGCTGAAAGCGTCAGTTGAGAATCTTTTCCATTTTTCACGCAAAGTTGTAATATTTTACCTGGTATTTTTCCCTTTTTTGCCATTACAAAACAAATTCACGCCTTGAATCTCGTATGGACAAATAAAACCAGTGAACCCAATATTTTCAATCTGAAACGAGCACATTGTTAATTTACATTTTGAGATAGATATGCACAGGATCAGACATATTTATCTGATTGTTATGCCATCTATCTATCTATCTATCTATCTATCTATCTGACTGTTATGTTCACAATTTATCTATCTGATTATGTCCACAGTTTATCTATCTGATTACTATGCTCTTACTAATTGTTACGCCCACTATCTATCTATCTATCTATCTATCTATCTATCTATCTATCTATCTATCTATCTATCTATCTATCTGTCCGATCGTTATGTCAAGTCTATCTATCTATCTATCTATCTGACTGTTATGTTCACAATTTATCTATCTGATTATGACCACAGTTTATCTATCTGATTACTATGCTCTTACTAATTGTTACGCCCACTATCTATCTATCTATCTATCTATCTATCTATCTATCTATCTATCTATCTATCTATCTATCTATCTATTCGATTGTTATATCCAAGTCTATCTATCTATCTGACTGTTATTTTCACAGTTTATCTATCTGATTGTTATGTCCACATTTTATCTATCTATCTGATTACTATGCCCACAGTCTATATGAGTGTTATGCCTGCTATCTATCTATGTATCTATATATCCATCTATCTATCTATCGATAGATCTATCTATCTAAACAGACAGACAATCAGACATGGAGAATGTATGCATATAAATCAACATTGCATGAATCTCAGTTTCAAGCTTCATGGTAGCTTCAAACCATTTTGCGGTTAAAAGATTGTTATGATGCTTAAACTGATATTGTTTGTTACAATATATATATATATATCCCTACATTTAAAAAATTAAAACTTTAACATCCAATGTAACCGCACACAGGCACACCAGTTGTCTACATCTAATCTATGTCCACACCTATTATATGTTCGATATATCTTCAGTGCTGATCGGCCTAGGTCAAGCCCAACCCTCAACGTGAATTGAGAAGCCTCTGATGCCAAATTTGAAGGCCGGAGGCAATTCTTTTATACCGATTTTCCGGTAAGCCTGAATTATTCAATTCCATCTTAAATTGAACAATTAAAAGACTCTAACCGATCGATACACAAAGCCAATTAATAAGTAAGCAATTTTAAACAAATTCTGACCCGAAACCGTTAAGTTACGTTCACAATTGATTATATTATCTTTCTTATTTCCCTTGTGTCTTTTCTTTTAAATTCTTGTTTTCCTCTAGTTTCTCTCTTATTTATTCTTTACTCGATTTTCTTTTATCTTTCTTTCCAATTTTTCTTCCTTTTCTTCTTTCTTTATCGTTGTTCTTTTCTCTCGATTCTTTTAATATTCATTTTCTTTTCCTTACCATTTTTATTGTTTTTCTTTAGATATTCTGAATTTTTAATTTTTTTTTTTTTTTTTGACATTTACAAAGTAAGGCTTAATCCGGTACAGGTATAAGGCAGAAACGCAAGGCACACAGTGAGGATCTAATTCACACGAATCCTAACAGTATCCGAAACAATCTTCCTAATTTTCCCAGGATATACAGAGAAATTCGTAAGTTCGCATATCGAAAATGGATTATTTTCAAGCAGATTTTCAAGCAGGAGTAGCGTTTTTTTTTTTTTTTTTTTTTTTTTTTTTTTGCGGGGGGGGTATTAAATTGTTTCATGGACAGATCATGTACGTTTTTGTGTGCTATATATTACTCAAACATACAAACATACGTGTGTGTGTGTGTGTGAAGATGATGACACAAAGTCGAAATTCAAAAAATAAAAACTAAAAACGACCATGATTTAAAATACTACTAGACCAAACGGCTCTAATACAATTATAGATAAAACAAACAAGTATATAGACGAACGAACTCTCACCAAGGAGTGATAAGCTGGGGTATTTTTCTTCACACACAGGTTTGTCCTTTTTCAGTCAAATTGATGAAGCCAAAGAGAGCACCTGTCTTCTGATAAAAAATTCCTATTTGTCGTATAAAAGCTTGTTCGTTAAAATATATATATATATATATATATATATATATATATATATATATATATATATATATATATATATATATATAGCTAGCTATTATACGAGGGAGGCTAGCCACCCCTATTGCAGACTCTCGCTCAGGCAAACTTTTGTTTGTTCAATTATATATATATATATATATATATATATATATATATATATATATATATATATATATATATATATATATATATATATATATATATATAAAGAAAGGGAGAGGGAGAGAGAGAGAAAGTGAATGAAAAAAATATTCTTTGTATATTTTTAGTTTTTTTTATTTACTTAATATAATTTTTTTACAAAAGCACAATATTTTCCGTTACTCCTACAACCTTCGTTAGTATTGAATAGTGGTTTTGGGAATTGGGCTTAATTTCACATTAAGCGATCTTAATGGTCTCAGTGCGGGAAACCTATTTTTTGGGACGTAGTACCGATCTTAATCGCTTCTTCTCCATTTTTTACACACACGGATCTGTCTCTTACTCCAGTCAGTGAGTACTTACTGTAAGAAGTGGGACGTAGCTGAAAAAGCTTTTGAACTTTACCTTATTAATGTCTTTATATAAGTGCATATGCTAAAATATAAAATAAAGAATATTAAATTATAATAATATCTAACATAATAATAAAACTGATAAAAAGGATAAATAAGGGAGACATTATATGTGACTATAGTATAATAATAATGATGGTACCCAACATAATAATTGGTCTGCTATATAACTCACCAGCCTGCTGAAGAGAGCAGTGCTGACTAAACAGTCTGATGCAGAATGTGATCAGCAACTGGAATACACCAGCCTACTCCACTGGTTTCCCAGTATCCATGGCACGGGGAGCTTAGGCTTTGCTAAGAGGAGGTCTAAAGCTGAAGAGAGGATTCGGCTTTTGTCTCCATTGCTGAGCTGCGATCAAAAGATCGAACTCTGCTGCCCGTTCAGATTATACGCTTTCCCCCAGAAACTGTGGTCCGCTCGACATAGTCGTTGTATAAACGACAGATGCGGATGTTGAACAAATACAAATGTACCTGAGCAGGCGTCTGAAACAGGGATTAGCTTTCTAACCTAGCAAACAGGTATACTCAGATACGAGAAACCAACTTTCCTCTATGGTACCTAGAATGTATGAATTTAAGCGCAGAACTAGATTGGCGACTAGGTCTCACCATTTTTCTGTTGAAATGGCTAGAGGTAACCGTAAGTGCTATGCTAACAGTTTCTTCTATCGCACTTCTCGCTTGTGGAACTCTCTTCCGGCTCCTTGCTTCTTAATCAACTTTGACCTTCAAAAATTTAAATGCATTGTCAATCGTTATCTTCTGTCTTCTTAATTCTTGTCCTTTTATTATCCTCTCCCTTTAGTAATGTTTTTCTCATATTCTGTTACACTCAGTAGCCCCTTGCATCTTAGTGGCTTTATTGCTTTACTTGAAGTGAAATGATTAAAAAAAAAAACTATACCAGGTATGACAAGGTCATGGAAAACTGAGTTAGGAAGATTGTATTGCATCAATCTTTTTAATCGGTAAGTTTTACCTACTTTGGACGTCGACTCATTTTCAAAGTTTCCCGTTTGTAAGGGTGGTTAAGTATTCCTTGATGCAGACACCTGCTCAGAAACATCTGTGTAATCTTGAACACTCACAGAAACCACCTGTGGTTTGTAATGCAACTTTACTCAGCAGACCTTAGTTACAGTTTCTGGTAGAGAGTTCCGATTCTCGTGTAATCACCGATTTAACAAGGTTAGAACCCTTAAAGCTTTGGCCACCATGAATTTTGACTTTGTGCAAGTACAACTTTCGAAGGATTCCGAATACAAAGTATCCACTTTGTAAACTTCAAAGGATTCGAAAAAATAAAACAATACAAAATAAATACGTACACAACCTCGTCATAATTAAATTGCTGTATCAACAGTATCCATTGGTATTTGTAATTTTAAATCTCAAAATACTGCGATAATTTATGTGGATGCGATATTGAGATTTTAATAGATTAGATGTGTTGTAATGGAATGTCCCACACTCCCTATCGACTATGTGAACTGACTATATCAGTAGCTATATATAGTGAGCATAGGATATACCTGGGGCTGGCTTCGGGAGTTACTAGCCTGCCACCCGATTCCTTGTCTTTCAGTAGTGTATTCTCTTTTACAATGAACCTCTCTTCTTTCATCTACGCGTGTGTTGCTGTTCCTTTCACTCGAGTACTACCTTTGTCTGTTTGTAACCTCTTTACGCATACAACAATATGTTACAACTTTTCAAAAACAATTTACACAGCTATGCCTGTCCTACGGAGTCTTATTCTACCCAAGGATGTAATTTATCCCGTTTTTGGCTTCAGAAACAAAGGGTCGTATTATACTCAAGTCGTACAGAAACTACTTAAGAAATTACGGTATAAGCCATTTCCTAG